AGTTCCTGATCCAGCTGCTGGAGAAGGTGAAGGCGGCAAGACGATCCCGGGGGGAATACCCCGACCTGATGGACGAGGAGAACCTGGTGGCCATGTTCGGGCTGCTGGACGTCGTGGGCCGGGGCCACGTCACGGCCGCGCAGCACCGGGAAGGTGCGTCTCACCTGGGCAGCGCGCGCGTGTCGGGCGGGGTCACAGCCGCCCCAGAGCTGCGCACAGGTGTCCCCCGAAAGTACCCGCACACCTGCCCACACACCGCCCGGAAAGTTACATTGCATCTGCAGTTACATGGTTGGACCTTTAGTTATGTCCGGGCCACTCTGAGGTGTTAATTAATCTTTCAAGACTTGCTCAGGAAATTCTCTTTAACTGCAGCTCTTAAAACTCTGGGGCTGAGCACCGAAGATCTGCAGCTTGAAGAGGATGATGTTGTCACACTGGATGTGTTCAAGGAAGAAGTGTAAGTTTAATTGAAAGAGTTGTGGGTTGTGTTTTTTTGGGGGGGGATGGAAATTATATCTGCACAAGAGGTATTTTACTGAGTTGTTTTTGTTGGTTTGGTTTGGCTTTTTACAAAGCTGTGTGATTAAAGGACTTGCTGGTTTAAGCTTAACCCCTTTACTTTACACTGCAAGATTTAAAAATGTCAGTTGCTGCCTGACCTTGCTTGGCTTGCTGTAGCCTGAGCCAAACTTGGCATTTTCCTCCACCTTCTCAGTTCCAGGGTCCTCCCAAAACGGATCTCTCAGATTACCTACCCCTCAGGTCAGACACACTGTGGCCAGGTACTCAAATATTGAATTAGAAATGCAAAATAGCAAAGCTGTGTTGTCTTCTTTGCCAGGCAGTAACACAGCTTGTGAATGAAACAAGCCGAGTTACAACAATTTCCCATGGTCAGGGTAAGGTTCTAGGGGCAGTTTTTTTGGTAACTTGCAATCACTGAAAGGTAAAAAGAACTAATTATCCTGTAATCTAACTAGAATTCTTTTTTCTTTTTCCGTCTTAGGAAGAGAAAGATGCTGGAGAGCTGGGCTGAATAACAGTTTGAGCAGTGGTCTGCTAAGTATATTTAATATAGGCATTTTGCTCAATTCTTCTTCCAGTTTGTCAGCTGTAGATGGCTGATGTTAAGCAGTAGTCTCCTTTTCTCATTCTCCCAGCAGTCTGCTGAAAATGGCAAATGGTAAGAACTTGTTTGTGTGGTGTCTTTTGAGAATCAGAAATCTCTCTTACACAACTAAAGTAGTGTTTTGGAGTTTCCTCCTTCATTTTGGAGCTAGGTAACAGTAAGGAGTTACTTTTTGGCTCATTATCAGTGAATAAAATTAACTTCAAGAGGTGAGTTGTTTCCTAATTTTTTTTTAAAGAAAAGAGCAACTTCAGCAAGTGGTGACAAATGTCCACAGTTGAAGGAAGGTAGCACCTCCAAGCACAGAGGGACTTTTTTCAAGGGCTTGTACTGAGAGGGCAAGAGGTAATGGATCAAAACTGGAAGAGGGGAGATTTAGGTTGGACACTGGGAGGAAATTCTTTAGTGTGAGCGTGGTGAGACACTGGCACAGGTTGCCCAGGGAAGCTGTGGCTGCCCCTCCCTTCAGGGTCAGGTTGGATGAGGCTCTGAGCAACCGGGTCTAGTGGGAAGTGTCCCTGCCCACACAGGGAGGTTGGAACTAGATGATCTTTAAGGTCCTTTCTAACCCAAACCAGTCTATGATTCTATGAAAACATTATTTTCAAACTTAAAATGTGAAATTTTTAAGAAACTTGGTAAAAAAATTAGGCAAGACTGGTACAGCTATTTTGAATTAGTATGAATAAAGAGAATAAAGTGACACATTCCTTCTTTCTGTGTTCTGTATATACACGATTTAATACAGAACATCCATCATCTGGGATTTGAAAATCAGTGTTTAAGTGAAGGTGGAGCAGTGCATAGGGAAGAGTTGTCCATATTGTACAGAAGTTTATTTACACAGTAAATGCTCTGTACTCTGTAAGATGATGTTACAGCCCACAACACTCAGACACAAAGACAGTTTTAGCTTCTAAATGCAGAGACAAGTTGGCTATGGAAAATATGATCTATGCAGTTCAAAACCAAATCAGTAATATTTGAAAAAAAATGTTTAAACTGCATACAATAAGGCATAAGATTGGATTAAATCCAATCCAACCAAGTACATTGTAACATATTTGCTTTGCTTTGAAATAAATAATCTAAAGTAAGTTGTTAACCATTTCTGAAAAAGTCTTTATTTTCCTGTATTTGGCCAACTAGCTCTCAAATTGAGAAGAATCTCAACATCTTTTTGACTTAATTTATAAACTCCAAGTTCATTTAGTGCTGCTGTTGCAGATGGCTGGTTTGGCTTGAACGTTGTTTCATTTTCTGAAGCTGACTGCAGGACATCCTTCAGGAGCAAGGCAGAGCCAACACTCAGGTTCAGGATAATGCAGGCTTCTTTTATGCTAGAGCAAAAAGTTACATAGATTAACATGGGAAGCACTCATGAGATACACTTAATTTTGTGCACGCAGTGATTAACAAAAATCCCTCCAGGGACTTCTGGAAAGGATCGTAAGCACTGACCTGAAAAGTACTGCTTAGATTAAGGCAAACCATGTACTTGTTCTTACTGTCCAAGCCTTTTCCATTATGTATGCCCATTTCATAAACATCAGTATTTTGCCTCCCAGTGCTTGCCATGGCTTTTGCTTCCTAAGTTTCTGCAGTCATATTAAAACTATAGCATAAAACTTAACCTTAATCTGCCTAGCTTCCCCTAACTGCATTTTCCCCTAAGATAATAAGGAACCTCTTATTCAGTGTATTTTAAGAGCACAATTTAGTAGACAGTTGCTAGAACCTTAACATTTTCCCTAAATAAAACCATTATGGAGCAGATACCCTGTCCTTGTCCCATTGTTTTTAGTCTAAATCCAAGAGATACACATGTACCCATTATACATTATTTTTTATGGTTCCTCTGTGCATCTGTTTCCTCTTATGCTGGGAATAACCTGTATGTATGAATTACCTTTATAAAATAACCTTAAACTTGAAGATGCTACACAAATACTCCAATTTTAAAATGCCAATATATGATCTTTGTCTTCAAGTGTTCAAGACTGAACACCATGCTCTGTACTGATTAAAAAATATCCACATATTGTAAGTGTGAATCAAAACTAACAGTGAAAACATCTTGGTGATACATAAACCACATGTATTCATCTGGACATTCACTTTTGAAATACATATAGATCAGAACTTTGCCTACTTACTGCTTGAAGTAGTTTTCTGGTCTCTTGCAGTAGTGTGAAAATAAAGGGAACAAATTCCTACTCATGTCAAACTGGAGTTGTGCTGCTCCTCCTTCATTGAAATGATTTGCCATAATTATCTACAAACACAAAGAGGTGCATCTGCTGTTTAGGCCAGTCACTGTCACCCACATTGTACTGCATGAGTCACATATTGCTGATACCTACTTCCTGATATATGTATAAATCCACTTTCTCTGCAAGCATTTGCCAGACAACTTTGAACAGAGAGTGACAGAGCTGCTGCTCCAGCTGTAGCAAGCGGTCCCGAAGGGTCAGCAACATGGGGCAAGCTGTGCTGGATAAAGACATTACTGCTTGCTCTGCCTGAGATGGTAAAGATAGCCACCTGAAATACATTATTGCACTTAAGTCATTATAAGAAATTATTAATATTACAACCACTTTTATTAAGATTACCCTTTAAAAAAAATTCTTACCTCGTTTACAATGGGTCAGAGTTCTTCCCCATTTCAAATCTAAAAGTCATGAGTCTATGTTTAAATTTCATTTAAACTCATGCTTTAGTTACAAATCTCTGAACGTGCCATTCGAAGACACCCCATCTAATCTAGAAAATAAACAAGTTCTTGTATTCCTTATATGAAGTGCTTCAGAAGTTATACTCGGGAGCAAACATTCAAGAAGCTCTATGAGTCTGTGAAGACAGACCAGTCATTACAGGCCATTTCATATTACCTTTTCTATACTACTATGAAGAAAATAATTCTTGTTCAAATGAGACTGATCCAGAATTCTTCCTAGGGTTTTTAAGATGTGCCCATTAATTGTGGAACTACTTTAGAAAACAGCATTAAAATAAGTGTTGAAGTAAGCATTATGAAAATTTTCCAAAACTTACAACCCTGTGCCATTCCTCATCAGGAAAATAATTTTGCCTATTAGCTATTTCTGCCTTTACTTACCTCAATATTTTTAACAGGAAATAATGTTATAACATGGGGAGAAAATAAAGGGACACAATCACCTCTCTTTTTTGTACAGTTTTGCTGCATCTTTGACCTCTCTGAAGACATGATCTACTTGACGAGTCAGCATGTCATGTTTCAGGCGTTCCAGGAGGTTGATCATTTCATCAAAGACAGAACTCTCCATCGAGGCCAGCTGCCCCAGCTCTAGTTTACTGACAGTGTTACTTTCTGCACAAACCTCCAGCTCAGCCTGCTGGAGCTGCAGGAAGAACTAGAGAAACAAAACCAGATCTCAATACTACAAAACTTAATCTTAGTGTTTGATAGGCACAGTTCTAGAAAACACCTTCCTGACACACTTTTGAACTTAACATCTTAAGATTTTAAAAACACTGTGTTATCTTTCCCCATTTAGTGAAAAAAAAAAACAACAGCCAACCCATGGTAGTTTAATCCTAGTGATGGAAATGATACAGGTTTCAGGTACAACAGCAGAGTGGTAATGGGAATAGATCGAGAGAAATACTGGAAAGATACTTGAAGATTGACAGCAGAATGCCTAAGAATACCCTGACTTTGACCTTTTTAATGTTTGCAAAAGTAAGCTAGAATCTTAAATTGTAACTTCTTTTAGAAATAATTGTTCATTAAATCATATATGTACTGGCTGAAAACAGCAAGAAAATGGATTGAGTTTAATGAGCAGTGATGACTTGTCAGTTTTGGTTTTAAGGAGATCAAGACACTTGAGGAGAGGCAGCTGTATAACATGAAGGCTGCTGTGCCATCGGGTCAAGATTATCCTCTACTAGAGCCACAGCCTCCTGTGAAGACAAAATCAATCTGCAGGCTGCCCATCTCACACACAGTACCTATTTCTACAGACTTCATGTGTAACAGGTTTTTTGACCTTTTGTATCAGTAAGCATAGAAAAGCTGAAATGTTACACAAGTCATGCTGCTGCCAGGCTATTATCATAGAATTGTTTGGGTTGGAAGGGACCTAAAGACCATCAAGTTCCAACCCCCCTGCATGGGCAGGGACACCTCCCACTGCATCAGGTTGCTCAAAGCCCCATCCAACCTGGCCTTGAACACTTCCAGAGAGGGGCATCCAGAACCTCTTTAGGCAACCACCTTGACAGTGAAGGTGTTTCACCACCTTCAGAGTGAAGAAATTCTTCCTTATGTCTAGCCTACATCTACTCTCTTTCAGTTTAAAACCATTCCCTCTTGTCCTATCTGCTACTTTATAGCAAAATAGTTGCCAGTTATCAGCGGGTGGCTTTTCTGAGCAGCACCTAAGGGTGTCGTGATGCAGATGGCCTGTGCTGAATGCCCCGAAGCTGACCTGCCAGGGGAGCAGCTCAAGCACCGTGCAAGGGCTACTGCACATGCTGCAACGTCAGTGCTGTAGCACTGGCTCAGAGATCTCCAAAACCAACTCCCTTCTTTTTCAATGCAAAGCATATATAGGAGATTACTTTTTTGCCTGTTCAGATTATTCCATGCCCCAGGCTCTCTTTGCATTTCCATATAAATTTTATAATTAATACAGCTTAGGTCTCAAACAATAATCTGTCCTTATTTATACATCTTTTATTCAGTCTGAATTTACACCTCATTTTATTTTTTCAGTAATGAATTCTTCTGATAAACAGCACTGGAAATAAAGCAGTTGTTATGAAATAAATTTCCAAAGTCCACTTTTAGTTTTTAATATTTTTTTTAAAGTAAAATAATTACTTACTACATTGTCAGCCCAGTCTGCCAACACTGTTGCTATGTAGTTAACAGCATTAAGGATTGCACAGTATCGGAATCCTAAGGAAGCTCTAGTCTCTTCCTTCATTACTTGAGTCAATCGTATCCTGAAATCATCAACCAATTCCTTTTGTAGGCCCAGGAACTGTAGTTTTCTGGAAGCTGTTGGAAGGTTCTTATACCTGTCTGGAAAGACATGAATAAAATGGTTTTCAATTTTCCAACACTGAAAAAAAGCTTTTTAAAAAGAAACATTATAGTCATCTTAGTACACAGCCTTAAATGCCTCTAAGAACATCACATGGTATTTCAAACAGCTGACATATTTTGACTATGCCAGGGAAACTACTCCATGCAGCAGCTAAACACATAAAGAAACTACATTCTCCCACCTCGTGATTCCACTAGCATTTTGTATTCAAATGCTTTAAGGAATATGTGATTATACCACATCATCAAGTGTCACCCCTAAGGCATACAGAGTAAGATAAAGCCACTGAATAAGCAATTAAGTATCTTCTGAAAATGTACTTGCTCCTATGTTCTGTTCCAAGACAGCAGACGTCACTTAATGGCTTCTAAATTGCCAAGAGTCAAAAAGAATAGTAGGATTTTTTTATTACTGCATTGTAAAAAATTGTATTAACTATGAATGCATTTTAACATCCTAAATATCAAATGCATTTTTAAATTATTATTCTGTAAACATGTCTCCAGCTCAATATTATTCATGCTTGAGTTAGTGTCAGAAATACAAAATGAACAGGAAACATCACAACTTTACAACATTATGTGATGACTACTATTGACAATGGGTATTTGGTAAGAAATCTGTTAAGCTACAGTTTCTTCACTTTGCATTACAAGCAAAAGCAATGCCCATAGATTAATAATTACCTGTTATAACTAACAGGAGAGTCATAAAAGTTTCAGCACAGTCAGGGACTTTCATTTCATCAACATCAGTGATATCTTTGTACTGCGATACCCACGCAGCCTCTGATGAAAGCATTGAGTCCATTTTCTGAAGAGCAACTAAGATGCACAAAACTTTTACATGAAGTTTTTAACTAAAAAGAAAATATTCTAACAACACCCCCCCAAAAAAAATATATATAAGCATAAAAGCCTTCTAAGTTACATTTTACATTTTCAGGTTATAAAAACTACTAATGACTGGCTTCATACAAAACCAGCTTCAATGTATCTGCATTTGCCCTGAATTAAACACCCATGTCAGTTGATTAGGGGGTTGGTTCTGGTTTTTTCATAGTTGGCTTGCTCCATTCCTATATATTTCATTTCTCAAAAGTCAGCACCTTTCCCTTATTTTCCACTTAAAGTCCATCTTTGTCTGCAAAAATGTAACATTTGCCTAAAAATAAGCCTACTAGATTTCATACAGCTTAGGGGCTAGAGTCCTACAAACTCACTATTACAGTCTGACTGACTTTTAGTCAAAATAATCACAGAGTAAAAAAATGTGTCTTGTGTGTCTTACGTAGTAGCCCTGTTCAACTGACTTATCCTATTTAAGAAAGTTATCTGTGTAAGTATACACATACTTTTTTTATTTCTGATTGTGAAGCATAAAGGCCAGCAAAATCCATTGGAAGTCTTACATTTTTTTTCCACTGTTAGCCACCTTTGGAAGCAGGATTCCTCTGACAGAATGTGCATGCAACTGGGTAAGCTGCTGAGATAACCATGAACGCTGTATAACTCTCTCTCAAATAGAAGTACCTCGTCCACAAGGTGACAAAAGAGTGTATCATCATATAACAGGCATGGAATATCAGCAGCCAGCTTCTCCAAAATCAGCATTACTAGAGCACGAGAGAATTCAAGCTTTTGAAAGAAAGAAGTGGAAAAAGAAATCAACATAGAAGTACTAACATGTGCAAACATGCACACAAACTGCTGCTAGACTGAGTTAAGTCTCAGCACGTATTTGGGGAAACCAGTGGAAGTGGGACTACACAAACTCCTGTGAGACATTGACTTACACATTCATGTACATAAAACCATGGAAGTGCTTACCCCAGCATTCACTGAAGATCCTGCCTTGTCCAGTATTGGCTGGATTTTGTCATCAAGAAACTTTGTATGATTTCCAATCCACATAAGTACTTGTGTTAAATACCACTCAGGCTTATTTAAAATAGAAAAGAAAAAAATATATGCTTCCAAACAACATTTAAGTGCTACTAATATATTAAGACAAATTTCTAAAAATACTTGTCTCTTCCTCCACCTTCTCCTGATTTCAGACCACACAAGTCTTCAGTGTTTCACTTAGCTTTGATTTTCACAAAAACAGTATCAAAGAAGTATTTCTCAATTTGAATTGTCCTAAATGCAGCAATTACTGTTTCTTCTCAAGCAAAAGCTCAATTTTTATCTCCCCTTTCTCTACTCTTTCTCACTCATGAGCTGCACTTTTCTGCTTCATGTACTTCCTCCTGTTCTTATGTGTAGCATAAAGGATGCACTCCTGAAGAAAACTCTCCCCAGTAGCTGCATTGTTACTGACATTATACGCAACCTCAATCCCACCTTCTCTCTGGAAGTGAGGAATCTATCAAATTCTTACTTCACGTTTTAATGCCTTTAAGCTTTTCCAGTTTCCATTCCTAAAAATACAGGCTATAGTTTTTTTATTAACTTGTCTTTCAATATTGGTGCAAGTGGAAGCAGTTACTCTTCTCAGTCCCAGCAACTGAAGAACCTTCTATTAAATTGCACTGATTCTCCCCATTTTGTGTGTTTGCTTCTCCTTTGTGTATTAATTCTCACTTGTCTACCGAATTTCATCAATCGGGTTTTGTTTTTTGACACTCCCTTCCCAACTTGCCAAGATCATTGTGAACTCTGAGCCTGTCCTCTGAAATCCTTGTAAATCCCTTCCAGGTTGATGTATTTCAAATATTTTATGTGGCTATTTTCTTTATTCCACTATCCAAGTTATTACTTAAAAAAACCCAACAACAAACCAAAATACCCAACTGGAATTTGAGCAAGGCCCTGTTGGAATCCTTCTGATTTGATGCTAGATTACCTATAAACTTTTATTTGTAAGTTTTTTAGACAGTTGTTCACAAATTTCATCTCCTGAACATAACTTTCCCATTTGTCGATGAAAGAATTTTGTTCATGTCTAAAAAATGTCCCCACTGACATATATAACATTATTTTTTAAAGCACTGTAGCAGCAACTATCAAGATTGCAGATCTATTTACATTTACCCAAGGCTGTTAACACCAGCACACAGACTTGTGCAACTGAACTGTCAGAAAACAGGTCTCAAACTGTGCAGCAGACGCATTAGAGCAGCACAAACGCACTGAAACCTGTTCCAGTGAGAATTCTCAGATAAATGATAAAACTCTCAGTCTTTGAAGATAGTTCATACAAAAAGTGAGTTTCCAACTGGTAAACTGGACATCTCTTGTCACATGTCAATTAAAAATTTACCCAGAAAACTAATTATGTAACACTACTTTTAGACTAATCACATTTTATATACTAATAGCAGAATCCAACATTTTCAGCCACATGAAGGTAGTGAACGAATGTTAAAATCCAAAGTCACAGCTTTGCACAGCCTTTGAGCTGAAGTAATAAGGATCGAGTATCAGGGAACTGTGCAAAACCATTTGTAAGGAGACAGAAGATATTAATCAAAACTTCTGACATTATGGGGGGCAGCCTAAGATTGTAGTAATGTTTTCTAAAGGTAAGGGAGAAATATGCCCTGACCCAGAGAAAATCCTTGTGATTCTGAAAAGTCTCCAAGTGCTATCTTGATGCCTCTCCATACTTAGGTAGGTACAAGAACCCTAACTTCAGAAAGGAAGACTTCAGTACAGCTACACAATACACCAATCCATAGGTTGCTTTAAAAAGCTATTTTTAAAAAAAGTGCTTTTGCCCATACCTTGTTTAAAACATTTGTTTGTTTATTTCCAGTGAAATGATACTTGAATCTTTTCTGAAGAGGATTCAGCATGATCTGCATTGGAAGGATAATGGGTGGTGATGGGGGTAAAGAGTACTTTTCTGGCAATTGTTTAGGTGTGCTTAACAGTTCATCTCTAAGTATGTCAGTCAAGGACAAATTTAAGCATTGAATTCTCCCAGTATCATAATTTCAATACAATGGATTTCTAAAAATGAACACTTCTTAGTTCTACCTCATTGACTGAAGGCAGTATTAGGCAATCAATACAATTCCTCAGATATGAAGGATACTCAAAGTATTTCAGCTTGTATAATATTTAATACAACTCAGACTGCTAAGGACTATTTATTCAGTGACAATACAAGTCATTTAAGTCAGTTTGATTTAGGAAACTCACATAATAAAAAAAAACCCAAACAACACAACACAAACCCACTATTATCAGTACCAAAGAAGGGCTGTCCAGGATACACACTTATTGCTATTTGTTGAAGGAGGATAAAAGACTCAAAAGATTAGGAAACATGATTTCCTATTCTCTGGTAACTGATTAAAGTGACCCAGTCTGCCAGACCAAAACTGTTACCAACTCAGGGTTGTGTACAATGGCCTTGTATCTTCCCACTTTATGATTTAAAAAAAAAAAAAGCAGCCACAATCACGCCAGGAAAAACTGCTTGGTTGAGCTTTATCGGTGCTTATTTACTTCACAAAAATAAGCAGCAGAATGAGCATCAGTGCCTTCTGATTAACCTCAACAGCAGACTACTACTGCTGCTCAACTGATATCCCTCTGTAATCTCCTCTTTTTTGCAAAGACTACTTCCAAGAGGTATCTTTAGCTTTCCCTCTTTTCCTTCTCAGATGGGACATACTAAAATCATTAAGGCTGATTTCTATTAAGGCTATGAAACAAAAAGGATTAACTGTGCAAAATAAGATACAATACACACCACCATTTTTTTTATTAACAGGGGTAGTCTTGCTGAAGTGTGTAAAGCCTGATCCTTGTGAAACCTGAACAGTCAGCTACCATGAGATGGCTAGATCTGCTGTCCTGGAGTTACAATGTTCCTACTGCCAAAAGGACAACTTTGGCACCAGGCATTTTTTAAACAGCCAGTTTGGTTTCTACAAACCAAACTATTTATTATTTGTATTAAAACAGGATTCATATTAAACCCTATTTAAAAGGATACGAGGTTTGCAGTTTCAGAAGCTGACAAAACAACATCTCCAAATTGTTGTATACGTCAGGAGCACTGGCTGAGGCAGCAAGGCCAAATGCCTGAGACTGTGGTGGCCCCACAAAGGGCCAGCGGAGCTGGGTCAGAACCTCTTCAAAATCACTAGGAGGCAAAACAAGCACTTGAGCACCAATGTACGAAGCAGCACGAGGGGGCCCAGGGAGTGGCAGCATAGCTCTTACCTTGACAATTTGTCCTTAAGAATCTTATGCCAGAATTTAACAGTGGATCTCACAAAAGCAAGAAGATGAGAGCAAGATGACTCCTGAAGTTTAATATCCAGCTCTGCCATGAATGCTAGAGTGCTGGCTGCCTCTGGAACATTGTTGGTCATCAGATACTGCTGGATGCTATCACTATAGAACATAGGAGGTCAAGACCAAGACTTCATTAAAGATATGAAAAAAGGAATAATTTGTATATTGGAAAACTAAGATAAAATTTTCTCAAATCTAAAACAATGGGCCAAGCTAGGCTACCAGTCTCAGAACACACATACATACTTGGAAAGTTTACCTTAACTCCTCTATTCTTGAAACCCACTTAAGATAAGCGAGGTGTCGTTCAAACTCCTCTATCTGACTAATCAGCACATCAAGATCCTCCATCCACGGCTGAGCCTCCAGTAAGTGGCTATTGATTGAAGCAGACAGACGAGCTTCTTCCTCTAGAAGCTGATCCAGAGACTTTTTAGAATCTTCTGCATTCTTTAAGGCATTCTGAATTCTTTTAGGGACTTCTGATGAAACTGTAAGTACCTACATTCACAGAGAAGCATTAAGTTTGAAATAAAAACACTGCACATATATATATATATATTTAATCAGTCACAAAACGTATTCATAAGAAAAAAAAAAACCCACCAAAACCAAACATGCTTACCTGTTCTTCTAACTGCTTCTTATTTTCAGATAGCTTTTCAATAAGGTTGTCTAGCTTCCTCAGAGAATCATAGTCATTTCCAACTTCTCTTTCCACAAATTCGGAAACATAGTATGGGATATCACAATGATCTAGGTCTCTAGTCACTTCTTTCTTTCTAACAGCAACAGTTGCCATGTTTTCTTTCTCTGCAATACTGATTATATGATTTCAAATTAGTCACCACTAAGACAGCACAAGAAAATATTGATCTATTGAGGACACAAAGTTCCATGAAAAACTGAGCAGTTCAGTTTAAACTGAAACTTAAATAAGACATTCAGTAAATATACTGCTTTAAGTGAGATAATTTGCTGGACTAAGTCTTAGGTGAGATATGATAAAACCTTGCTTACACATCCAGCTGGTGATTTATCATACATTAATTACTATAGAGAAAAACACCTGTTAAAGTCTTCCTGGCTCAAACTTGTGAACTTTACTAGAAACAGTTCAATATATATGACATAGAAAACTTAAAATGAAATGGTGGGAAATTATTTGTGCAAAATACAAAGGAAGGTTACAATGTTTTGCTTTACCTTCTCACACAGTTTAGGATGCTCCAGAGATATTAATCGACTAGTAAAGTATCCACTCAGGTCTTGCAATGATTTGTAAGTAAAAGCATCAGTGAAACACAATTTGTAAGAAACTCCACAGCACGTAAGAGAAGAGGCACTTGCCATCCCCACATCTGGCAGCATCCAGAGAAAACCAGACCCAAAACTGGCAGGATGATCATGTACAGTGAAATGAAAAAAGGCAACAGTGACGAAGTGTTTGGCCAGTTCAATTCTCAACCTTTTAGCATAGCTTTCAAAACAATATTTAAAAATTAATTATATACACTTGCACTTTACCTGCTACAAGCTTTAATGAAGCAAACCCCCCAACTGAACAGGCAACAACCAAGAATATGAAAATAGTTAAACAGATGAGCCGAAGTTGGAGGAGCAACAAACACTCCAGGAAGAACAAACTGGGAGATGAAAGGCACTGCTGAGGAAGAAGTGAGCAAAGAAAACAGGGCAGTGCAGCCCACCGGGGGGTCTGCAGCCATGAGAACACAGATACCGCAGGACGCTGAGCAAGGGGTGCTCTGCGCAGGGGAAGGGTCAGGGCACGGGCTGAGGGGAAGCGGGCACTGGGAGCATCATCCACCACCTCCCTGCCGAAGGGGCAGCTCTGCACCCACCTTCGCCAGCGGGCGAGGCCGTTTCAGGGAGGCTCAGAAAGCAGCGCAGGCTCTGCCCGAGGCCGCTGCCGCGCACGGCCCAGGCGGGGCGGCCGAGCGGCCCTTTCACCGCCCGCTGCCACCGCGCCGCTCCCCGCTGGATTCCCGGCCGCCTGAGGGACGGGAACACGGGACCGGAACACGGGACCGGAACACGGACACGAACACGGCCC